AAACAGCACTTAATTTAACAAATTATATTATAGTATTCAATATCTTGAGAACTCGGAAAGTGGTCACATGGTCACAGTAGCTGGTCATTGAAGCTTCCGCTTGAAGCTACCAGTGACCCACAATTCACCGTGAAAATTCGACTTCAACAGTCTACCCAACCGTTCCTGTACCGGTACCGGTACAGGTCTTCCTACAAAGAATGACGTTTGCCTTTCTCTTGCATTGCTCCTCTCTTCGGTTGCTTCATGAGCACTTCTTGTGACTTCTAAGCGATACCGATGCCTTTTTTGACCTTCTCTCTCGGTCTTACAGCTGGTTTCCAGATTTCTATGGCCTGCCTTCGGTGAATAGAAAGTGTTTGGTTTACTTAGGGCAGTACAGTGGTCATTGACTGTAGAGACCCTTTACAGGAGCAACACAGGACATTTACAATACTTGTATTAAAGCCTTGTATTTAAGATATATTTTTATTTTATCGAAAATGAAATTGCCTGAAGTTCCATGCTGTTCCAACTGGCGCGTTGACTGTGGGGTTGTCTAGCTAGTCTACTAGCTAGCTAGTCTAGACTAGCTAGTTGTTGTTTTCAAGCTCTTCTCGCCTGCAAACCCCTGAATTTTTTCAGTTTCACACATTGATTAATAGGATTTAAATCTATATGTACTATTGCGCCGAAGGCTGTTGCTTTTGTTTCACTCCTTCAACACCTGGCGCTATTGGCACAGGTGAAGGAGTGAGTAGAATTGGTCATTCTGGGAACAGTAAAATATGGAGAGGGATCACAGGGGCAAGTCAGAATGCCAGACGAGAAAAGGGGTATCACAAAGTGATTGGACTTATTCAGAGAGGGTACAGGGTTGTGGGGAATGGCACAAGGGAAATGTCAAGGGGGATTGGGAAGAGAGCGCAGTTTTCATCCAGAGGTAGATGGCAGAGGTCCTGAATCCATTTTTTTAAAAGAGGTTGGAGCTGATGTTGATTTTTGGATGTGAAAACATACACTTCATATTTGTTAAATGACCTTGAGATAGATGCCAAGGATACCTCTTTTGGATCGCCTTGCAAAAGGTAGGGATAGTTAGTTTTAGCTAGAGGGAAATTGATGGCCCAGCACTGCCTTCCTACATTATACTCTCTAGCTACCGGTAGCCAGAGTTCCAATACACAGCTTGGAAGAATACTACTGTACAGTACGAGCAGACCACTGCAGCTCTTGTACTATTAATAAGAATGGCTACTCTGGAGTAGCTCTAGGAAGCGTGAATTGAGTCCAGGCTTCTCTGGGAAGCTACGGTCGCTACGGTATTTGTTTGATGGACACCAGGACTGCAACAACTGGCAGCAACAGAAACATTTAGAAGCTCTCTGGCTCTAGCTAGTAGTAGTAGGAAGCGTGAATTCCACATTACCACGCTGACAGTTGCTCACGGCTGGGTAGTATGAGTGTAGAAGTACACGGTAGTCTAGATCCCATTTATAAAAACTACTCAGTGTAGTATCTAATATTCAAGGTCAAACATTTTGAAAGCGCAAGAGGTCCGGTGACGATTCCGTGTGTCATTGCTGGCACAAAGGAACAGGCTTCTGTGGATCACCTCCTCCGGATCCAACCAAACCAGTCACGTTATTACGTTATTACTCGCTTGCTGCTGGCGCGACACTACAAGACTTAGTACCAGTAGTCGGAGATAGATCTATGGTAGACAGCAGCCCGCCATCTGCCATGCTTGTTTTTGGGTCATACGTGGCTCTCTGACTCAGTTTGTACTATCTGAGCTAGCCATGGTCATTCCTGTGACAGCCAGTACAGCTCTCGTACACGGTTTCACAGTGTGCTGCCGCCAGCATCACGCTATGATGCTATGATACCATGATACCTATAGGGCTCCAGGCAAGATACCGAATAGTTCATAGTTCTGGACGTCTTACTGTACCGCTTGTAGTGTGTCGCGGTGTTTCGGCTAAAAAAACTGGACATCATCCATCCAGAACGTGAGAAGCCTGGATAGCTTTTCTATCTTTGGCAACTGGTTGTGCAGGTTGCTGGTTGCATCTTGCATTATTTTTTCAGCAAGTCAACATTCTGCACACTTTAACTTCATTATCACCCATTATCCTACTTGGGTAGCCAGAGAATTCAAGACTATCAATCAAGCAATCTACAATACACACAAGAAGACAACACAATAAGAAGACAAAAGAATATTAGTATGATGATGTCTCTGTGGATGTTCATCTCGTTATCCTTCCTGATGCCGAGTCTTCTGGCGGCGCAGCTCTCGATTATCTCGAGCAATGGGACAATGTCCGCCGAAGAACACGCCTTTTTGTACGGCAACTCCAACGACACAACAGCTACGGACGATGCTACCCCCAACCCCTTCGACTTGGAGACACTGGACCGCATCGTGGTGACGGATCAAGCCATGGGCGCCCGGTGTGCCGTGGCGGCGGACTTTGATGGCGACGGGCGACAAGATCTAGTGAGCGCCAGTTCCAACGACAATGCCGTTTCGTGGTATCGCAACGAAGGACCCAACGAAGATGGCAGTGGTGTTCGTTTTTCCATTAAACGCAAAATCACCTGGTCGTCTCTCGGCAGTCGCATTGTGACGGTAGCCGATATTGACGGCGATGGCGACATTGATGTCGTGGGTGCTTCTTACTATGACTCGTCGTTGCGATGGTTTGAAAATGACGGTACCGGTACTTTTACGGAACACTTGATTTCTACCGGCGTCAATGAAGGACAGGGTGTGGCTGTGGCCGATGTCGATAACGACGGTGATCCCGATATTATCTGTGCCTCGTCGGGAGATAATACCATTGCCGTATTCAAAAATTTGGGTGGAGGGACATTCTGTGAAATCAAGGAAATTGTCGATGATAATGCCATTGGGGCAAGAACGGTAGTTGCGGCTGACTTGAATGGAGATGGATGGATCGATCTCGCATCGGCAAGCAAGGTAAGGAAATACTATACAACATGTTGTTCTGTGACTGGGTTGTTAGCCTTGCTGGCTGGCTACCCACCACCTAGTAACTCGACGAATTTCTCTCACAACTTACCTATCTTATCTACCTATCCTCCTTATCCACCCTACCTACCCACCCTCTCTATGCTACCCACTTATCTACCCATCTATGTCTTGTCTTGATAACATATCAGGACGACGATACCGTGGCATGGTACCCCAACGACGGCACCGGTCACTTTCCTACCAAGATTGTCATCTCCAAGGACGACGAAGCATTAGGGGCATACTCCCTTGTCGCCGCTGACATTGACGGGGACGGTCATCAAGATCTCGTAGTGGCATCCAATGGGAATGACCACGTTTCGCTCTGGCGCAATGACGGCAAGGGAAATTTCTCCAAGACACTCATCTACGACAATGCCGATTTTGTTCTATCGGTGACAGCCGTCGACTTTGATCGTGATGGCGATCTCGATGTTGCATCGGCGTCGTTTTTTGATGGGTACATTCGATGGTACGAAAATGTCGACGGAAAAGGATATGTCTGGAAGAATCATACCGTCTACGTGGGGATTCAAGGACATTATGTGGCCCATGGAGACATGGACGGGGATGGTGATGATGACCTTATTGCCGTCACGCATGCCGAAAACACGGTCGCCGTCTTTCTCGCACAAACCAACTGCGACGAAGACAATCACACAGACGTCAATCAGCACAAGAGAGAATGCTGTCATGTCGGCACGGAATGGGATGGACATTCTTGCGTAATCTGTCGCAATGGAACCTACGGTGTTGGAGAAGGCACTCGTGCCAAGTGTGTGGCATGTCCCACCGATGCCTGTACCATTGAAGGACTCGCCGTGGTGCCGGCCACCTGTGCCGGCTATACAGGATGTTTCAACTTGGAAGCCAGCATTTCCCAGTGTTCCTGTCCAGTCAACAGTGTCAAAGATCCCACGACGGATGCCTGTGCCATGTGCCCGGAAGGACAAATTCGACCCGAACCCGAATTTTTGGGGCCGCGCGGAATTGATACCATTGGCAATTACACGCTTTGGGAAAGTCAACAAGGAACCTGTTTTGTCGATGAACCCACCGATTACACACCCGTCATTGTGGTGGCCGTCGTTGTGACGCTCCTTGCACTCATGGTACTGACGGCATATTGGCGTCGGCAACAAGCATTGAACAAAGCCGATGCTCTCTGGACGATTGGCGCCAAGGAAATTACCTACGACGACCCCGTCGAGATTCTTGGATCGGGATCTTTTGGAACTGTCCTCAAGGGATACTACCGCGGCACCACTGTGGCTGTCAAAAAGGCACTGAACACGGCAGAAATCAAGGCCAAAGCACGAAGGGGGTCCAAACAGAAGTACGCCTCCCGAATGGGATCCATTGTGTCGACCGTATCCGATCCAGACTCTGAAGAAGATCGGTTCCGATTGGGCGCCAATTCCGGAGTTGTCGCTTTGAGTTTGTCCAGCACGGGTATGCGCAAGTCGTTTATTGAAGAAATGAGAGTCCTGAGCAAATTGCGACACCCGTGTATCACGACGGTCATGGGCGCGGTGATTCCGGCCCGGGGCAAACCGTTGCTCGTCATGGAGCACATGGAAAACGGATCGCTTCGCGACTTGTTGAGCAATAAGACATTCCCTCTCGACCCAGAACAGACGCTTCCGCTGATTCGCGATATTCTGCAAGGCATGCGCTTCCTTCACGCTGCCGAACCACCCATTGTCCATGGCGATCTCAAGGTACGAAGTATACGCACAAAGAAGTCGCAGGCGATGGCGGGGCAATCGTTATCGTTGTTTTGTGTTGATCGATTCACCCCCAGCTAACACTGTTGCTTCTTCTTCTGGCACCTAAAGACGGCCAATGTGTTAGTCGACGTAAACTTCCGAGCAAAGATTGCTGATTTCGGTCTTACGGACAGGAAAGGAACGGGTCAAAAAGCTGGAACACCATTCTGGTACGTTCATGTCTTCGTATTTTCGTCAGCCAACATCAATCTACTGCATTGGTATCTAACCCAATTTTTTTCTGGCAGGATGGCGCCGGAGCTGCTGAAAGGTCAGGCCATGAGCCCTCAGAGCGACGTGTTTGCATTTGGAGTTCTGCTGTGGGAGGTCATGACGCATAAACTTCCTTACGAGGATCTGGACTTGCCCTTCAACGAAATCCTCTACGAGATCCGCGAAGGCAGATTGCGTCCGAACTGTAGCCATGGACTTGACCAGGAGCTCGTGGAATGTATGGAGGATTGTTGGTCGCAGGAGGCCGACAGCAGACCGTCGCTCGCGGACCTGGAAATGAAGATCATCCCTCTCTGCGGTCAGAATTTCTATTCTGTGATGCAAGAAAGGAACAACTTTACGCAAAAGCAGTCCTCATTGCTGAACGACGTCTTCCCCGAGCATATTGCCAAAGATCTTCTGGCTGGCAAGAAAGGTATGTGTCGCCCGTGCTGACCATTTGTTGGACCGCAACAATGTTGGCTGACGGAGCTCTTGTTTTTTCAATACAGTGGAAGCGCAACATCATGACTGTGTTTCGATTTACTTCTCTGATATCGTCGGCTTCACGACAATCTCCTCTGAATTGGATGCTGCAGAAGTGTCGGACTTGCTGGATAGGCTTTACATCAAATTTGACGAGCTTGCTGCTTTGCAGGGAGTCTTCAAGCTTGAAACGATTGGGGACGCTTGGGTGGGAGTGACTAATTTATCAGATAATCAGGAGGACCATGCTGTCAGGATCGCGCGTTTTGCTCTTGATGCTGTCCACGCTGCATGGAAAACTCCAATCCACCCCGGCAAGCCTGAGATGGGAAATGTGAAAATCCGAGTGGGCTTCCATTCCGGGCCCGTGGTTTCTAATGTGGTGGGCACGAGAAACCCACGTTTCTGTCTGTTTGGTGACACAATGAATGTGGCCTCCAGAATGGAATCATCTTCCAAGGAGCTGATGGTTCAATGCTCAGATGCGGCCGCCAAACTGGCAATGGGCGAGGATGAAGGTCTTAAATTCACGTACCGTGGCAAAATCAAGGTTAAGGGAAAGGTAGGTTCAATGAAACGCTGGCAAAAGGAACCAAATTGCTTCAGTGTGTTGACGTCACGACGGATGAATAACCTTTCACTGATGTCAATCTTTCTCTCGCCTGTCTCATCTCTAAAGGGAATCATGAAAACATATTGGGTATCGGATAATTACGGTTCAGGGCCTTTCAATCATTCGCAGTACGTAGCCGATGCGTCTTCAGTCGAGTTCACCCAGCGAGATGGATCAGTTGATGGTATGAACAATAATGACGACATCGAGCCATTTGAAAACGAACATCTCGACAATTCGAACAGTCCAGTTCCGCAGAATATTGACATTGAGGCCCCCGCCGAGCGAGAGGACGAATTTCGCGACGAAAGCGAAGCCGCACCCCGCGAAGGCGCGAAAACGGTGCAGTTTGCTGCAGTGATGGGAACTGACGATGTCAATGAATCTCCCGAGGCAGCCTTGCCCCTCAACAATTCTTCAGCGCATTCAAAACTTGACCAGTCTGAAATGGAATCCTCATCCCGGCGTCGACGGTCTGTGCAGTTGCCTTTCATCCGAGTCTAACTTCCATGCCTCCACACATCAATCAGCTCCACTCCAGTAGACAATCACTACTTCCTCCTTCTTTTCTCCAGACAGTGGCAAGCTTCGAGGATGCAATATTGTTTTAGTTTGTATTAATACATATTAGATTCAGCAAGTTTTCAAGAAGAGCTCTGCGTTGTATCCGTGGGAGCCCATACCGGCACTTGTGCCCGAGTCAAACTGGATCAAGCTTGCACCGATAGAAGGATTTTGCATGCCGAGAGCCAGGGACAGTTTTGGCATGGGCGGCTTATGCAGCTGGAGAAAGCCACTACCAAGTCGAAGTCGGCCCCGCACTCGAAGTTGCAACTTAAAGGGCGACGGGACGGAACGAAACCGTCGAAGGCGGCAGACTGGCACACCTTGGTCAGAGTTGGGCCAAGAGTATTGGAACACCAGGAGTTGCGCAATTCCGGAAGCGGTGAGCCCACGAGCCATGGCCAGTCCCGACGACCCTAACATTGGACTAGCATAGGAATCGAAGGGCATTACTTCAAGGTTCGAACAGGTGCACCTCCATACCTCCATACCACTATCCGTAGGTACTGCTACTCATGACAATCATTCCCGACACCATTTTCCCCATCGCCTCGGCTATCCCTTCCGTCCCACTGTGAGAAGAGATCTGGTGCATTCAAACAGCACCCATCGAACCCAAGACGCTCCACCAATTTCTCCTTCGGCACGTCTTTGGGTTCCAATGCGGTGTATTGGTAGAACCGAAGACCCCAGGGCCACATACGTCCACACACGTCCACAGACGGACCGCGTTCGTTCCAAATAAATGGAAGTCCTAACTGAAAGGCCGGTTTGGGCATGTCTCCAACAACACACTCAGAGATTTCCAATGTCCACTTCAGGCTTGTCTAGAGGCATCCAGTACAGTTGCAACCACAGAGGAAAGTCCCATGGCATACTGGATTTTCACTCTTCACTTGATAGATTTGTCCACCAAACCATCTTTGCTCCTGCTGACTCATTCTGCCACACATTTCTTCTGGAATGCTGCCTGATAATGATGTGTTTGCAACTACCAAGCTTGTCAAGTTCCCCATAGCAAGAAGTTCTGTGGTGGGTAGCGGCCCTGACAAACAGGTATTCTGCAGTCCTAGCTTCTTGAGATTGGAGAGAAGACCAACCTCGGTTGGAATCGATCCAGAAAACTGATTGTTATTGATTCGCAAGTAATGCAAGTTTGTCAACTTGGAAAAGAGCATAGAGGGGAGTGATCCTTCCATTTGATTGGCATGGATGTCTAGGCCAATCAAATCTGAAAGGACAGCAAGGACAAGAAAGTGCATGAGAGAAGCACAAAACGAAGCACCTGGAAGGCACCTTTTTGTTTTGTTTTTGCAACATCTCCTCACTTGTCAACTCAAACAGTTCCGGAGCCAAAGTTCCTGCTATCGAGTTTTCCCTGAGGGACAGAAAATCCTGTAGTTTGGGAATTTTTGTGAGTCCTCAAATCAGATTAACAGAATCACTAATGACAACCAAAGTACTCACCAGGTTTGTTAAGTGCCCAATCTCTTTAGGAACAGTGCCATCTATTTTCCAGTCAACCAAATGCAGGTTGGCTAGCTCTGATAGCATGCCAATTTCAGCTATGCGGCGAAACCAAGATAAAACATGTCAGTCAACATGAAACTTAGGAAACAAAGCTCAAGTGTTGCTCCTTACAAGGCAATGGCATCTCATCACCAGATTTCCTTTGGTTGAGTACTAAGAATTGTAGTCTTGGCATATTCCCAATGAACTCTGGAAGAAGAGAGTCAGAGATTAGTCCAGGGCTGCCACTCACAACTATCTGTGTTAGCTGATGCATTCGAAAGAATTCAACAGGGAGGGATCCTTTGATAGTGGAGGAAATTAGGGTTGTCAGCAGTTTGGGATGGCCTCAAATTCAAACGAGCACTAGACAAACGAACCTGTTAGGTCTGTGTTGACCACTTTGAAGCTTGTTAAATTGCCTAGTTTTCCAAGCTCCGAAGGCAGAGAGCCAGAAATTGATGAAATCACAAGCTGCTCTAGACTCTGCAGTAATCCGAGCTCGGTTGGCACTGTGCCAGAGAATTCAACTACTTCAAAATCTAAACTTGTTAGTTTTGTCAGCAGTCCAACCTCTGTTGGGATCGTTCCTTTGAGTTGCATCTCTCGCACGAATACAAGTGTTTGCAAGCTGTTGCCCAATAACGAGATCTCGGGTGGAAGTGTCCCTACCAGATTATTGGTAATCCAAAATTCCAATGCTTTGATTTCTCCGTTGTCATTACAGCGCAGTTCCGGAGAGCTGTCTTGAAATGGAATTATTAGTTCCCAGTTGCATTCATTTGTGTCCCAGTCCATCCATCCATGTTTTTGCACCCAAAACTCTCCTCTCGTAGAATAGTAGAATGTGGCCAGAGCGAATCTCTGCACCAGTCTCCATTCTGGTAGTAGCTGAAGACTGGAGTTCTGGTTATTGAGGTTGTTGGTCAGCCATTGATAGGCTCTAGACTGAGGAGATCGCGGCCGTTCCATAGCCTGCATTGTGTAGTCAGGTAGATTGAGTGAATCCAAAAAGGTTGTTGGTGCCACTTGGTTTTCTGTTGGATCTGTCCCTGGAATGTTTGGAATTTGAACCACCCCATTCTGTTGTTCTCTTGTATGACTCTTGTTGATGCCTTGTGCTTTTAGAACGAACAGCAGCACCACAAGCAGGAGAAGCACAATACTGAAAACACAGTTTGCCTGGAGCGAAAGGGCGAGGAACAACTTTTTCCGCCAATAGTGCCTGCCTTTTGGGGGCACAACTGGCTCTAGGAGTTCCATTTGTTGATTGTCACTGTCGTGATCCATGACTTGTACAGTAGTTGAAGCGCTCATTGATTCTGAACATTGTGCAGTAACACTTGTCGCTTCAGAAACTTGCCCATACTCTCCCCAGTTGTTCACCACATAATGACCGGTGCCCACTCCTTCGATGGCATCGGCCCCAGGAATCGTTGGTCGTGTATGTTGTGCCAGAGTTCTGCAAAGTTCCGGTTGTTGATATTCTGCCAATGAATCATGACCTGGACGCGACAAAATTCCGTAGACAGCGTAGGCCCCTGGTAGAATTGGTGTTCTTGCGGCTGTTGATGTGCCCAAGTTGGATGGGAGAAATTCAGGGAGGTGTGCGATGCTCTGAAAAGTCGCAGGGATTCTTGGGTCAGTTTGTAGAGGATATGCAGATACATCAGAGGCGCGATTTTCGACAGCCTGTACTAACAAATCGGTTCTTTTTTGGTTCAGCACCAAAAGGCCACCACTGGTGCCCCCAGATATGTGATGGCCCATCAAAGAGGTGCCTGAGACTGCCACGGTGCTACAGTTGTCAGAAGATTGATTTGTGTGTTGGTTCTGGTGGTCGGTGAACAAGTCGGTCATTTCCACTTCTCGGCCGTTTGGATACGAGGACATGATTATTTTGGTTTCTTCCTCCAGCCACTGACTTTTGTAAACTTGTTGTCACTTCCAATTATCGCTGACGCCAAACAATCTATGCCCTTCTGTTTCCTTTTACATAATATAGTGTAATCTACTAGTAGTAGTACTTCTGCTTTAGGATGTGGTTGTCTCTATCAGCACATCGGATGCATGCCAGCAGTGGTATTAGTTCTCGTTCCGCGTCGTGTGTGGAGGTGCCGGAGCTTGCTTCTAAAGAGCTAGGGTTAGACGATCGGACAACACGGTGCTTGGCTTTTGGTGTTCAGGGCGTGGAATGTTTCTGGAGGCGTAAACCACTGCCGCCGTTGCATTATTGGTGTGTGCAACCACTGGCTTCTGGCTCTCCTGTTGTGCACTGTACTTCCTGGATGCACCCTCCACCCCATCTCTTCCTCTCAACGATGGCCGGCTCTGCCACTCCTCTCGGTTTGGTAGCCTAATGCTATTGTAGCTACCGCACGTGGTGGCATGAACCGTTCCACAAGCAACTAGCTAACTAAGTGATGACAAGCAAGCAGCAAGTGCCACAAGAATCCTGACCTGCCTCCCATTTTGGTGCATTGTGGCATGTTCTGAAGTGACCGTCGTGGGCGACGACACAACTTCAGAGAGGCACTCCGCACACTCAAACAAATCAGCAGGTCGTGGTTTTGTTCCCCGTTGTCTGGACTGTTACTGACATTATTTAGCTTGACCAAAAGCCTTCCTTTTGACACATGGCTGCTTTGACACAAACACACGAATTGGAGGAGACGCTTTGCCTGCAATGAGTAAAGTCCAAAATGGACGAATTAGTTGCCGAACAACGTATGAAAAGTGACCGTGAACCAATGGGCCATACGTACCATTGAGAGTGTTTGAGAGAGAAAGGAAGAATGTGGTGTACGGGATGGAGTCTGGGGTACAGTACGAAGAAGTATCTACGGTAGCTAGCTAGCATTGTATCCGTAGGGAGCAACGCACACTAAACTACTACGGCTAGCTAGGGTGCCGAATGACAAGACGGAATGGATGACGACGACACACAGGAAAAGAACCAACCTGCCTCGGAACGGAAACAGTGGCGGATGTGCTACGGTACGACAAGCCATGACGCAAGCCACTTCCATTGGAGAACCACACTATGTTGTGTTCAACAAATAAATTTTGTACGTAAATAGTTCCCGTCGTACTGTAGCAAATCCAAACCCAAGTCTAAAATAGGATGGCTGATGCGTCTAATGTTTGTTGTTGATTTCATTATTTGGGAGTGCCGTGCCGTATGAACCAGGTTTGTTCCTCCTCCATGAATGAATGAGTCGATCGAGCCTACCATACTGGAATCACGTCAGATAGATTGTAGTTTTGGTGAAGATGGTTGTCTTCCTCCTTCCGTTGTAAACATACTATATCGTACTTTTGACTGGCTAGCAGCTACGCCATACTCCCCGAAGCCGCCGTCATGGAAGCGCCTTCGCCACTAGCTCCCGCAAAACCTTGTTTTCCCAATCGACACGCCAATACTGTGGAAATGAGCGCTGCGAGC